TAATAGTTTAAACTTTTGGATCTGAGTTGGGTTCCTGATTTATATATTAGACTCTTTGATAGACTCTCCCGAGATATTTTTCCCTAACAAGTGGCATCAATGTTTCATGGGTTTTCTCGAGATATTTCTTCCTAACAAGTGGCATCAAAGTTTCAGGTTGCGAAACTGGACCAAAGTGTCAAAGAATTTGGCTTCTGTTGCATCAGGTGCGCCATAAGTTTGGCAGGGTTGGCAAGGTTTAGAATCCAGTTTGGATAGTGGATCAAAGGATTAAGGAATTTGGGATTGGCAGAGGTCTAGAATCTAATTTGGATGGTGGACCAAAGTGTCAAGAAATATGATTTTCTTTTCTTAATGGTAGACTAAAGTGTCAAGGAATTTGACACCATGAGTTTGGCAGGGTTAGCAGGGATCTAGAATCCAGTTTGAATGGTGAACCAAAGTATCAAGAAATTTAGTAAACTTGAAGAAGAGCTTATAAATTTGAGTTTAATCTTGAGTTTAATGTGAGGGGTTACTTATAAAATGGGGAGATTTGTTATGGGAGGGTCTAGAATCCAGTTTGGATGATGGACTTTGGTGAATCGAAGTGTCAAGGAATTTTGGGTTGGCAGGAGTCTAGAATCCAGTTTGGATGGCAAACCAACGTGTATAAAAGGGGAGATTTGTTATGGGAAGCATCTAGAATCCAGTTTAGATGGTGGACCAATGGTGAACCAAAGTGTCAAGAAATTTGAAGTTGGCAGGAGACGAGAATCCAATTTGGATAGTGAACCAAAGTATCAAGGAATTTAGTAGACTTGAAGAAGAGCTTGTAAACTTGGGTTTAATCTTGGGTTTAATGTGAGGGATTACTTATAAAAGAGAGAGATTTGTTATGCGTTTAATGTGAAGGGTTACTCATAAAAGAGGGAGATTTGTTAGATTCATAAGTAAATAATTATGTTCCGCATTGGTTCGAGAGATACAGAAGGAGTGGTTAATATATAAGTAAAGGTCCGAGACCTAATAGGTTAAACTATTGGATCAGAATTGGATTCTTGACTTACATATTTGGTTCTACATGTTGGGTTCTTTGATGGGAATCATAACATATAAGACTCTTACATTCTTACAAAAATTTTCGCTAAATGACTTTTCTGTATGACAATAATAGTGAATTGGGTTCTAGATCTTGTAACAGTACTAGGTTATCTCAGTGGCTTAAATGCTTCTCCTTCATTTGTGTATTCTGCCCTCAATGTGGACCTTATCTTGAATTAATGAAAATTGACATTTATATTTATCAAAAAAAGAAAAAAAAAGAATGGAGGAGTCTTGAGCACTACTGATACCAAGTGGCTGATGGAAGCGAGGGCGGAGGGGATTGGGGTGTGGTGGAATTAAGGATGGCAACGAGGCGCGGGTTGGGGCGGGGGACGGGGGAGTTGCCTACAAATTCCCCCTGCCTCGTCCCCAGCTCCCCCGCTCCGCTTCCCCCGCGAGGCTAATAAAAATTTGTTATATAATTTTATTATAATTAAATTTTAACAAATAATCAAGTACTAAAATATCAACACATCACCAAATTATTATTCGTTGTAATTTCACAATTGAAACTTATAAAAACAATCAAACAAAAGTTATTTGAATACAATCCAATATGATGAAATAAATACAACTAAAATAGTCAAGTTTTCACTTTTGACACAATTACAATCACTAATTCATTATTGTGCTTGTGCTTTTTTTGAGAAAAAAATATTATTGTATTAAGTGTAATTAGGGATTTAGTATAAATGTATTAGTAAATTTAGTATAACCAATTAACAATTTGTATTAGTACACATATATAATTATTAGTATAATTGATAATATCAATTATATTACATATACTAATATACATTATATAATACATATAACTAAAAATACCATTATCATAAGTTTATAACTAATTAAATTATATATTATATATAATTATGTACATATATATATTTTATATATCTATTTTTTTAGAACGGGTGGCGGGGCGGGGTACTCCGTTTCTAAGCAAGGGGAAAAAAATTCCTCCCCGCCCGCCCCATTAGCCCCCGCGAGGCGGGTGCCCCATTGCCATCCTTAGGTGGAATACAAATAAAAAAGAAAAAAAAAAGGAGTTGATTTCAAGATTTGAGTTAACCACTGTAGCAGCAGGTTCAAAATTTATCATATCATCTGTAATTTACTGAATCCTCTCAGGAGGCCTAGTTTTGTATGCGTTATGGGTCCCATTGGACTCCTACATGGAAAGTGAAAGTGCTCTTGGATTTAATGGATTTATAACTGATTAATGATGGCATTGAATATTTTTGTGGTAGGACTATAGTTGGACACACTATTCTTCACTTTATTGTCATTTACTTTCCAAACATTTTGGATTCTTAAGGCCAATGATTAGTTGCGCTAGTAAATACATTAACATTAAGAAACCAAAGACTTAAGGAAGAGCTAACTTTTCTCTTTTTTTTCCCTTTTTTGATTTGATTTGTTGTTAGAAAGAGATAAGGTTGTGCTCAGATTGCATTTTTTTAAGAGTTTTTGGGGGATTACTGGGGCGTAATTTAAAATGTGATATATATGAAATAAAAAAATAATTGAAAAATGAGTGTTAATTTTTTGGAATATAAACTAAGAAAAAACATCTTAGTGTTGCAAAAAAAAAAACTGAAAAGAAACTTGTATTGAATCTGAAAATAAGCTTATATTATTGATTCATCAACTCGCTATTTATAGTGTTTATATGAAATAAACTAACAAAATATCCATTTAGCAATTATCTTAAAAAAATCTCAACAAAACATAATCTTCTACCAGCAAATCTTAGCTAAAATATTTGTTAACAAACCAACATGATCTTTGGTTAACAAATATACTTACTCTTTAGATTATTCTAATACAAAACATAATCTAGTGAAATTTGTAGGAAAAGTTGGCATATTTCGACAATGTGTATAAAAAATTCACGAAAAAGCATAAATTTTTGATAAAAAATAACAATTCAAACAGGGCCTATGTAACATCCCGAATATTAGGAGGTTGTTTGTGAAGAAAATATTAAAGTATATTTCTTCGGGTTTGATTTAAAACCTTATTTTGTTTTAAAAGACTAGAAACCCTAATATTTTAGTCAAAAACCCTAGTTTACTTGTGACTAACCGGTTCTCTTAAATCTCTCACATTTTGATTGAAACCCTAAATTTAATCATTGGAATTGGAAAATTCCTCACGTTTTCTTAAAAATTTCCTTTTATTTGAAAATTATTATTTATTAAAGCCCTACTACCCAATTGTTCAACAATAAGTGCAGATGAACCTGGAAAATAGGGTTTTACACTTCGGTTTCAAGATTTGAGCAAAATTAGGGTTTTCGCGATTTTCCGCCGGATGAATTTTCGGTACGGAGCAAGGACCAAATTGGGTGATTAAAAGTGACTTTTAAGTGAGAAATAATATGTGAGTAGTAGCAATGATATAAGGTTAGTGAATGGGAAGTAAAAACCCTAGTACGTGAGTTTTAAGAAAAACGGCGCGAACCGCGGGTCCCGCGCGCACTACCGTTTGAACGCACCGCTTGACCACCATTTTTCTTACCAAACAAGCTTATTGACTTTTGCACAAAATATCTTCCTAATTTGCAGCTGGTTTGACCGAAATTATAAGGCTAGAAATGTAAGGGAAGAAAGAGAAAAATTTGTGGACAAGATTAGTCCAAGTGTTGGCCAAAAATTGTGGACACAATTAGCCTTAATCTTCTTACTTCCTTATAAGACAAGTTAAGCTCCATTTCCTTCATTTTTTTGCTCCATAACCGAAATAAGAGAGAGAGGGAAAGACCAAGAGAAAAACTTCTTCATTTCTTCTTGATTCAAGCTACAAAGTGAGAAAAAAGAACTAAACCGATTAATCTTGTCCTTGAGTGGTTAGTTAGTGTTTGGTGGTGAAAGTTTGGAAAGGAAGGCTTGGG